CCCCAAAACCCCAAAACCCCAAAACCCCAAAACCCCTTTTAGAGAGTTCAATATTGAATCACTCTCCAATAATTCGTAACTTATTCCTTATTTTGATGAATAGCATTAAAACTGGTTAACAATTTTGCTATTTACCAATGTGAATTTAAATAGAGTGGATTATTTTTAGGTCACAGTTTTATTGCTCGAGAGATTTGCAAATTTTGATCTTCTCCATCAACCTATATTTTATGTAAAATTATGTAGTACAGAAATGACTTACATGTCATCGATCTCTCTTCTCTTCTTAAGAATGAGTTCAAGTTCATCTATGTAGTCTTCAAAGCCGTCTTCTCCGTTAGAGCCTTTATTTGTCTTAGAGATTAATTTAGATTCCAGCTTGACCAATTTGTTATGCTCTTTGACGCATAAAGAGTGGGAAGATATTAACTCGTCCTGCTCTTGCATTAGTTTGTCAGCTTTTTCAGCGAGATCAAGCATCTCTTGGTTCTCATACATGTTCTCATGGCCTCTGAGGGTCTGCCTCAGGTAGTCAATGTCATCTTTTTCCTTGCTAGAAGGGTCTAGAAAATCATTCTTTCTCTTGGCAACACTGTTTCTTTTCGGTGGAGACTTGAGTTTTCTTCCATCCCTGCTTCTAGAATTCCTTGTTTGTCTTCCATTTGTAAGATTCCTTTCTCTGGTCAAACTTTTGGAAGATGAAGAGTCACCAGAGATTATCATTCTTCCTATCCCAGCCATTCCAGCTCTGCTGTGTTGATTGCTATCTCTAGAGGCACGAGTCTTGATTTGAGAGCCGATACTATCGGCATTTGAGTTCATGTGGCTCTTGGCATCAGGTCTTGGGGGTAGATTGAGACCAATACTGTCTGGATTATATCTATCTGATTCAATCCTTCTTAAATTTGAGATTTCCTTCATCTTTCCTAAGGCGGACGAGGGCTTATCAAAGCTCGTCTTAAGTCTTCCTGAGTAGCGAAGTGTATTTAGTGTATGATCTGCTGAGGAACTACCTGGATTGATACAAGCGATCATGACGATTTTCGCAAACTCATTTTTACTGTTAAAGGAATCTTTCAGAATCATTGTAAGCTTAGATGCTCTGAAAGGGACATGTACATCGCTACTACTGTTCTTCTTGGTGTCAAAGGCTCTAATACATTCTTTCAATGCAAGCAAGCTTTTGTTGATGTCAGCTCCTTCAAGCCTTCTTTGACGGTTATTACTTTGAGTATCTTGGGCTCTTTCCGATCCAGCTAGATCAACGAGCTTTAATTTTCCAAGTTGAGCACTAGTGGTACTGTTTCTAATAATTATTTGACAGACAGCATGGGATCTCGAGGACTCATCATTCGCCTTGGTACTATGAGTAGTCCTGATGCTGTTTGCCGAGTCAATACATTCCTGGAGCTCAGACTCATTTTTGACAAGGACTTCTCTCAGCCCTTGCACTTGAACCTCATTGTTATGGTCTTCCATAATTTCTACTTTCTCTTTATCATTGAGTAAATCATGAACCCTGCCTCTGTAGATTTCAAAATATGAGACATAGAATTCAGGGTTCGAATCTTTGAATTTTTCTGGCCCTTTTGTGAATAGGTCTTTAATTGCTTCTTCTTGAACTCCTTTCATCGTAAACGTCTTACCAGAACCTGTCTGTCCGTACGCAAAGCACGTTACCACGCCGTTTGTGAACAACGAAGGGATTAAGGGTAGAAGCATTGTTTTGTAAAGAGTATCTGAAGATTCAGTTTCTTTAAAACTGTTATCAAATCTGAAATCATGATTGTCAATGTATTTGGTGAGACCATCAACTTTGACCTTTGGTTCATGCACTCTTGTATGTGGATTTGCAACACTGACTCAGTCAATATCCCCACTGGCTTCTTCTTTCTTGAATATAGGTCTTTTTCTGATTCAGACACAGATCTTCAATTTCTCAGATTGTACATGTTCTGTGGCGATTTCATCAGAGAGCCAGTCTTCGTGAATCATTTTGTCATACTCTAGATCAACATTTCTGCCTGCTTTCTCATTCCTGAGTTTGGCTTCCTCATTTTCTTCCTTTTTCTGTTGCATTAATTGGCGTCTTCGTTCACGGCGTTCTTCCAATTTCTTGATTTGTTCGACGACGTTGCCTCTTTTGGGAGGGTTCCTTGCTACATCAGAGTCATATATCCCGAAGTGCTTTTTGAGCCGCTCCTTGCGCTCAGCAGCTGTGCCAAATGAAGGCAAGCCAATATTATTTTAGCTCTTGGAGAATCCCTGTTTTGGACATTCAGTTGATCTCCTTTTCTTTCATTTGTTGTTTTCTGTTTAATTTTTGGGGTGGAGCCAGGTCAAATTTTTGTTTCAGGTCTTCTTCTTTGGGATCTGTTTGGGATTTGTTAAGGGCTTCACTTGAATAATCCATTTTATTTATTAATTTTTCCCGATTGTTAAACTTTTTTGGGGTTTTGGGGTTTTGGGGTTTTGGGGTTTTGGGGTTTTGGGG